GCTATAGATAATCTTAATTCACTTTGCGTCGTTTCAATTTGCATCGTGTTTTTTTGGAACGTAACCACGACGCAAAGTGAGGTATTGGTGTATTTGGATAACAAACAGGAAGTGGTCGATGATAAGGAAGTTCTGAGGAGCGAGTGTATCGGTATAAATTGCATGTGAAAATTCTTACAAACGATCTTCCGGCCTGTTGCAAGATAGGATCGATCGGATTCCTTTAAGGTTCTCCGAGGCACGGGTTATCGCGAGATCATGCTTCATCGGCCTAGAAAAATCTCGTTGAGAAAAAAGGCGGCGGGTGGTCCAAAGGAAAAGAATGCTCGAAGCGTAAAGGCCGTGAAAAAAGGTTAGCAGCGCAGCGAAAGGGAAGAAGAAGGGGCGCGTGGCCAGGTGCAAGAGACGTCCCTCCCTTTCACCTGCGATTCTCTCTCTCTCTCTCTCTCTCTCTCTCTCTCTCTCTCTCTCTCTCTCTCTCACGGTTTTTTTTTTTTTTTCTCCTGAGCCGGCGTCGCGTAGACTCGCCGCAAAACGAAGACGAACCGAAAAGGGACAGCGTCGGACCTTTGAAAAATTATTCTTCCGAGCGGAACACGCTCGCGTAATTCCTTGTCTCGTTTGGCTTTATTTTTCAAACGGCGCCCGTCGACGACGCCCGGGCGTCGCCCAGTCGCGCGTTCCACACGTGCGTGCCCACGGCTTTACGACCGTTCCAACCAACGACTACGAGCTACTTTCGACCAAACATGTGCCATCGAGAAGAATATTTGCATCAGCCTTAAATCTTACCAAAATCGATACGATGCTTCATATAATAATTACTATAATAANATTTTTGTACAATGCGTTCTTGAGGACGGCGAGGGAGGGGATAGTGTAGCCAATAGCGGCAACGGCTCTTCTGTGTAAGCTTGTGTAAGTGCGTATGTATACGCTGTGTGATGTATTAGAGGGCCAAAGATTCTCAACCATTTGTTTCTATTTAATATGTGTACCACTACGTGGCAACACTTGAAATGATTGAGACCAACTGAGCGGGACTAACGTCCTTATAAGCGAGACACAACTTGAGGTATGCAGAGCAAATAATTACACTACAAGATTTCGTCGTGAAAACAATAAAGATACGGAAAAAAACTTATCACGAGTTTACTCGTGACCGGTCACCAACGCTTGGCCACGAAAACACGAGTTAACTCGTGACCGGTCAGCAATGTGTTAAGAGAGTTATACTTTAAATAAACAATAAGTACCATGTACACCACTTCTGATTTCTTAACAAATTGATATAATATTTTATTTAACGGTCGACATTGCAGATGTCGGACGTGTTAAATAACGCGTTTGAAAAAAGGTATTCGGAAGCGATTGAACGATCACGATTTCCTTTTTGTCCCCAGGCTTTACGGGGACACGACGACGAGGCTGTAGACGCGTGACACTCGTTGAAAACCAGCGCGACGCGCGTTGTATATGCAGGTTGCAACGTTTCGGATGGGGAGATATAGATTTCTCGGCACGGATGAGCATAAAGGGAAATATCAGCTTGCCGGGAATCGACTGGTCGTCAAACCAGTCCTCCGCTTTTAATTCTTGATCGAGCAATCAACTGCGATTAACGGTAGAGCGTGTTCCATCGTTTTTTTCGCTCTTTTTTTTGTTTTTTTGAAACCGACAACTTTTTCACGTTTGTGGATTAAAATTGTTTCGCAGGCGAAAGAGAATTCATGAATCGCTAAATTGCGACATGTTTCGTTTCAATTGCGAGTGTAAAAATTAATGACGGGAATTATTAAACGGTGAGAAGTGTGTCCCGGTGGATGATTTTATAACGAAAAGCTTCGCTTTAATATAGAACGTAGTCTTCTCGGTAAGTGGCTCGGTATGATCGTTCTGAAATGCATGGCGCAGGAATAAATCATCGGTAAGCCTCCTCGATACAAAGGACGGGCGTATATCTTTCTGACCGATTAACCTCGGATCTGAAAGGAGGACTCGCGGTAGCACAGTTTCGAAGAATACGAAGGATGGAAACAGGTTGCTTCGCCAGCAGTTAGCCAAAAAGCCGGCGACGATTTATCGTTGCCATTTCGCGTGGATCCTGGAAAACAGAGAGCCACCGAAACCAGACGTAGGCGGAGTCGAGCTACTTTTTTTTAACTACGTCGTCGCTAAAAATTCGTCTGTTCAACGTTCCGTCATTTTCATGCAAATCGAAACGAAACGAATGCAAGTAAAAGGGGACAACGTGGGGGGACACTTTAATTATTGTTATGCAACGGAAAGAAGGGTTTTAAACAAAACTACGTATCAGAGAACGCAGTAGAATATATTCCGTTTGGGAACAGCGTGCGGCGAAAGTTTTAAATGAAATTCCACGGGAATAACCGGAACGCATTCATCCCTTTATTCGAGCGAGCCGCATACGGGAACGTCGCCGGGACCTGTACACGCGTGTCAATTTGCACACACGCGACAGAGGGATTCCTCGCGAAAAAGGGTGAGAGTTCGCGTTTCGCTCGAAGGAAACGCGCCGCGTCGCACGTGGAATGTTAAGGTGACGTCGCTAAATGCGACTTGTGTACTCATACCGGGCAGGGTGAAACGAGAAAATACCTCTATACTACTATTTCTTCATCCCTTCATACCTATTTCATTTTATTTTCCTTCCGCCGGTACTTCGACTTCAGTGGATTACGTGAAAGATCGTTTAGTCGTAACAATTTCAATTTTATTTATTAAGTCGAGCGGAGAAATAAGCCAAATTTGTATAAAAGATATGCAAAAGTATTAGTTAAAAAGAATTTCTTCATCGCTCATTTTTACAATTAATTGATGTCTCTTTGTAAGACGAAATTGGACTCACGTATGTATTGCTTTATTCAGTATAGGAAAGATCTAATTCTTACAAGTGGAACGTTTAAGGATGTATAGGCNCGCGATAAAGTAGATCATCAACGTCACCCACAAAATTAGCCACAAATATGGGCTTACAGAAATACTTCGTTTTTATATAAGAATATTTCTCATATTTTTTATACGAGAGTATCCTCGATCTATCGATCGTCGAGGTAAAAGTCAGACCTCTAAATGTTTGCTAATCAACGGAATCGATAGTGGGAAGCGTAACGGGATGGTTGGAAATCAGAAATTGAACAACCCCCAGCTTTCTCGGCGCGTTATGCAAATGCGATCATATTGTTTCGCGAAATGGCACGGGTAAGACTATCCGGCTGATAGCACGGCACGGCGGTGCGCCGGTGTGGCTTATGCACAATGCTTAAGCGATGTAGCTGTTTATGAAGTGGCTCCCAAGATTTGCATATCGTTCAAGTATGCGCGCGTGGATTACGCGTGCTAAACCCGTGAGAATTCGCGTCGCGAATTTCCATCCATCTCGAGTGGGACCGAAACGAGGATGCCGGAGGGGTACTCGCGAATCAACGAAACGCCGAATCGAGCGCCGATCTCTCTCAGCTAATTTCAATCGAATTCTGCATCTCCGCAAAGTCGTTCGGGTTTGCCAGTAAACATCGTATTTCAGATTGAATTCGTTCGTTTCTGAATTCTCCTCGGCTTCGACCACGCGCAAAATTACAGGAAATAATCAACGACTCTCGTTGATGGAACGCTGGTAGAATGATCCGCGCGGCCTCTACTCGCGATTTTATCAAACGGCCACAAATCTGCGCCACAGACAGCGTCATTGTGGCGTACAACAATGTGGCCCCATTATATTGTCAACACTGCCGTTAGCGACCGGCCAGCTACCGATATATCTCGACGACCGTATATACATATATTCAGATCAACACCGGCCCGTGAACCATTGCATACCCCCGGCCCAAATTATTATTCTTAATCGTCACGCGTCGATCACAGATCTGGCCTGTCGTCGCGGGGGAGGAGACTCGACGGGTCGAATAAACTCCGAAGGGAATCCGAATCGATTCACGTTTTTACGATTACGATTCCAAGTTGGAAGAGACTAGCAAGCTTATCGCGCCACGAGACCATTTTTCATACCGTTTTTTTCATGACTTATGCGAGCACGTATCAGAGCTGGTGATCCAGCCGTTTTCGCGGCGAGTGTTCGTAAACCACGGTATAAACTTTATAAAATATCGCGGCCACAACTTTTCTTAAGTACACACGCGAGTACTCATACCCCTCCGCGGCCGTCTTCCTTTCTCTTTAGCCAACTCATAAAATCGATGCCCACGAATTTATGTAGTTACGTAAAATCTCACGTAAAAACTGTATCAAATGACTCGTCGCTCCTACCTTATCACGAAGTCGATTCTGCGCGGGGACCAGCCGACGGTAGAGGAGTGGCACGATCTGTAACAAGAATTAAAATGAACGATTAACACTAGAAAGACTGAAACTTAGTATATACCTATATTGCCCAAAGCAGTAAAAA